GATCGATTGTGAGATCGATAGTCAGATCGATTGTGAGATCGACCGGATGAAATAGATCGAGTGAGATCGATTGTGATATCGATCGAGTGAGATCGATCGAGCGAGACCGATCGTGAGACCGATGGTGAGATCGATAGTGAGACCGATCGAGTGAAACGTTGGTTCCTCCCCCCCCGAACCTCCTTATCACCCGAATGGTGGTCGTATAGGTATACACATATATGCGTACACATTAATACGTCCACGTGTACAAGCAACTCTCCGAGCAGTGCTTGAAAGTCAGGGTTCTTGCGTGGCGCCCTTGAGGAATTGGATGTGGGTCAGCCGAGGTTTCGTATTGTGCCCGTCCGTGGGCTCCCGTGGGCGCCTCGTCGGCGCCTCGTGCGTTGGGTGGGTCAGGCGAGGTTCCGCCTGGTGCCCGCCCGTGGGCGCCTCGTGGGCGCCATGCGCGCTGGGTGGGTCGGGTCGGCCGACGTTTCGTCTGGTGCGTGCCCGTGGGCGCCCCGTGGGCGCCTCTTGCGCTGGGTGGGTAGGCCGAGGGTTCGCTTGGCGCCCACCTGTGGGCGCCTCGTGGGCGCATCGTGGACGCCTCGTTCGCTGGGCGGGCAAGTTCACAGTTTCACGGGGTGTCGACGTTGCACCACGCAGCTGTTGCCTCACAGTTGCACCACATAGCACTCACTGCATAACTTGCACCGCATAGCTTGCACCACACTTCGTACGACACACCGCTTGCAACACTTGCACTGCATAGCTTGCACCACATAGCTTACACTACATACCTTGCATCGCGTAGCTTGCACTTGCGCCGCATAGCGTAGACCACAGGCTTTCATCATTTAGATTCTCCTTTCTAAAAACAGAACAGGATCTACCCCCCCCCCCAGGTGTTATCGGTTCACCTTTCGGGTATGTAACTCATATATGATTATGACCACATGTCCATTCTAAGTATGAATTTACACTATCCCCGGGGGGGCCAGTATCCCCCCCCTGAGGTTCCCTTGTAAAAAACACTATGCGGTGACATTTGTTGTTCTAACATAGCACTTTTTCGCGAATCCCTTGCAACAAATGAGACGAAGTGCGCACGCGCGCGTCGTCGCGCGCGCATGCCGAAATCCTTCAAAAACTTCCGGTGCCGGAAGGATTTCGCAATCGAGTCTCCACAAAACATACAAAAACACAGGGTTTCGCAACACTGATTTGCTAAAAAAGCTTCCGCGAGCTCTTGCGAAATCTTAAGAAAACCATAGGTTTTTTTCAACATTTTCACAACATGCTATTCAACGGGCTTCGCAGGCGCGCATGTCGAAATCTGTCGAACGCCCTTGCGCGTGTGCCGTCGCGAGAATCCTTTGCAAAAAAATGGGACGAAGTGCAGACGCGCGCGTCGTCGCGCGCGTATGCCAAAATCCTTCAAAACCCATCGGTTTCGGAAGGATTTCAAAATCGTGTGTCCAAAAAACCTACACAACCCAATGTTTCGCAACACGGATTTTCAACAGAAGCGTGCGCGCGCGCTCTTGCGTCGTCGTCGTCGTCGTCGCCGTCCTCCCTCCTCCCGCGTCGTCGTCGTCGTCGCCTGCGTCGTCGTCTGTCTTTCCTCGTGTTCGTCGTCGTCGTCCTCGTTGGCGTCGTGGTCGTTTCCGTCGTCGTTGTCGCCGTGGTCGTCCTTCCTCCTCCTCCCTCGTCGTCGTCGTCGTCGTCCGTCGTCGGCGTCTCGTCGTCGTCCCTCCTATTTCGTCGCCGTCGTCGTCGTCCTCGTCGTCGTCGTCTTTGTTGTCGTCGTCGTCGTCGTCCTTCCTCGTCGTTGTCGTCGTCGGCGTCGCCGTCCTTCCTCCTTCTTCGTCGTTCGCGTCGTCGCCGTCCTCCCTCCTCCCTCGTCGATGTCGTCGTTGTCGTCGTTGTCGCCGTCGTCGTCCTCCCTCCATCGTCGTCGTCTTCGTTAGCGACGTCGTTGTCGTCGTCGTCGTTGTCTTCGTCGTCGTTGTCTTCGTCGTCGGCGTCGTCGTCGTCGTCGGCGTCGTCGTTGTCATCGTCGTCGTCGTCGTCGTCGGCGTCGTCGTCGTCGTCGGTGTCGTCGTCGTCGTGGTCGCTGTCGTCGTCGAAGTCGTTGGAGACGTCGTCGGCGTCGTCGTCGTCGGTGTCGGCGGCGCCGTCGTCGTCGTCGTCGCTGTCGTCGTCGGCGTCGGTGTCGTGGCCAAGTGCCATCTGGTACCCACCGTCACGGTCTTGCCTTAAGAGGTCTTGCGACCAAGCTGCGGGTGGGAGGGTGGGATGTTTGCACGAGCAGTGGAGAGGACAGCTTCAAGTTGAGTAAGTGGTTGATTGCGCCACATAGCTTGCACCGCATGTATTGCTCCACCTAGTTTGCACCACAGTACACCTTAGGCGATGCTTAAGAAAACTTAAATTTTCGGCCAGAGTCTCGATTATTCTTAACGTTTCAATGTAAATCTTAAGATTTTGACAGAAATTCTGGGTTTTGTTCAAGTTCTGAGACTGTGAATTTCTTAACCCATGATTTCTTAACCATTTCGCAGGGTGTAGTTTGCACCGCATGTGTTGCTCCACCTGGTTTGCACCACAGTGCCATAAGCAACCGCTGGGGGCCCATGCTGGCAGCATGATAGGTGGAGAGGCGGAACAGAGGGTGCAGAGCGCACAATGCACAGAGCATCGATAGCAGGGAGACGAGAGGAGGAGGAGGAGGAGGAGGAGGAGGAGGAGGAGGAGGAGGAGGAGGAGGAGGAGGAGGAGGAGGAGGAGGAGGAGGAGGAGGAGGAGGAGGAGGAGGAGGAGGAGGAGGAGGAGGAGGAGGAGGAGGAGGAGGAGGAGGAGGAGGAGGAGGGGGAGGGGGGGGGAGGGGGAGGGGGGGGGAGGGGGAGGGGAGGGGAGAGAGGAGGGGAGGAGGAGGAGCGTGATTCATAGAGGACGGAGGGTAGAAATCACATGTAGCGGGGGCGCAGCGCATGAAGCAGAGAGTGGAACACGGAGCGGAGGGTGGGCACGCAGAGGAACACACTCGTCATCCCTCAGCTTTCGCCCGCCACCAGCACGCCGCCTTCACGTTTGGCATGCGAAGCATCGATTCGCGTGTTTCTCTGGTGCAGTGCCTGCTTCGAAACGTCTTGCGCAAGGGCGTGGCAGGTTTTCAGGGGACCGGCTTGTGCGACTCGTCTTCCTGGAAGCATCCCAGCGATAATCGAATATACACCTTAGGCGATGCTTAAGAAAACTTGAGTTTTCGGCCAGAGTCTCGATTATTCTTAACGTTTCAATGTAAATCCTAAGTTGTTTTATGGAAATGTTGGTTTTTATTCAAGATCTGAGACTATGAATTTCTTAACCCATGATTTCTTAAGCATTTCGCAGCGTGTATTCAGGACTGGCCACGTTTCTTTGGAGTCACAGCCAGGGCATCTTGCCAAAAATTGGCTGGGCACTTCTCGCTCTTGCACGGGTTCGTGTTTCCCAGGGGAACTGCAAGGACAGCGGCCGAGCAATGACAAGTCCGTGTACGAAGCATCGCAGAATCATTTGCCCTTCACGTGTCGGACTGTGTGCTCGCGACGACTGCCACCTGCATCCCACGGTTCTCCAATCGACTGTTTCGCTTCCCGCAGCCATTTTGAGTCGAGGGCGCAGGAGGCCGGAAATGCTGGCAGACCCCCCGTCGGCCGATCAGCCTGGAGAGGCGCCTCCGCTTCCCGGGCACCAGCCTGGAGAGGCACAGCCGGTGCCGGCCCACGAGTTTGTGCTCCACATCCGCTGCAAGGGGACCGGCCTGGAGAGGGTGCTGACCTTCAACGGGCTCCCGTCGGGCGAGGCCGTGCGCGAGGCTGCGGACTCGTTGGCGGAGTGGTGCCTCAACTGGGGCAGGTCGCAGGGGCTCGTTGGCGTCCCCAGGGCGGCGGCCAGCTCCTGGGACGGTTCCAAGGCGGTGGCCAGCTCCAGGGATGGGCACTCCAGGCAGATCTCGGTGGAAAAGGGTGTGAATACGGACACGGAGGCGCTGCTGAAGATGAACAGGACTCCCAGCAAGGCGAGCATCAGCACCTCGGGCGCGCTATCGGACGGCACAAGTCTCGCGCTGCTAGCGCACAGCAACTCGAACGAGCTGATCGCCTCCAGGTTCAAGCTTTCAGGCAAGAGCCCCTCGGTGCGCCAGGAGTCAAAGATATGGCGCCTGATCCATAAAGGATCTGGTATCGATGACGACGATGACGTCTCCATAGCTGATTACGAAAAGTGGTCCAAGCTGTCGATGGCCCAAGACACCTCCTTGTTGCTGAAGGACAAGGACTCTAAAGGCTCGCGCCCACAGAGTGGAAAGGGCCACAGGAGCGTCTTCGGGCGGATTGCCCATGGCGTGAAGTCGAGCTACCTCGGCAAGCACGACACGAAGCTGGAGACTCCCGCACCTCTCAGCAGGTCCCCGCGTGGCCGCAGCCCGGACAAGGAATCCAAAGGACTCCGCTCAGGCTTGCCGCGACCACCGGGCGCGGGCAGACAAGTGGGCAAGCTGGCGGCGCTGCCTGGCCTCATCCGCGTAGCCAGCGTCTCCTCCAGGGCCTCCTCGGCGAGCTCCTCGCACCACCACGACGCCGTGCCCATCTCCCCCCGCGGCTCGCCGACGCACCTCTACCGCGCGGACTCCGAGCCCGACGACAGCCCCACTGCGCAGGACGCCAGGAAGCTGCCGCTGCTCGAGATCCTGCACCAGGCCCCGGGCGCGGCAGCGGACGAGCCCACGGCGGCTGGCGCGCTCTACCCGCGGTGCTCCAGGCCTCCCAGATGGGGCCCGCGCAGACGGGGCTGCAGGATCGCGCCCTAGTGCCGAGGCATCGGCCCTGCGGCTCGATGTGGGGCCCTATGTTCCCCACGCCGACGTCGCCGATGCGTCGCCGATGCATCGCCGAGGCATCGGCGGTGCACCGGCGAGGCGGCGCGATCTCCGACCCCATCTGCTCGGACACCACCTGTGAGGCCGCCAGGTACGGGCGGTCCTCTCACGCGCGGCACCCGTCGCAGGGCTCGGGAGCGCCGGCGGGGAGGATGTGCTGGGAGTCGAGGTCCCAGGATCGGAGGGGCACAAGACACCGATGCCTCCACCCTCCCCTCGTCGCCACGGCCGGGCGCGCCTCCAAAGCCTGGCCTTCAAGGCGCTCCCCCCACACGAGAGAGGCCCGAGGGGGGGGGGCATCGGCCCCCTGCGGCTGCCCCGCAGGAGGGCCGGCCCAGCAATGCAGAGCTGCCCCGGGCAGCTGCCTCGGGGCGCACCACGGGCGCCTCCCAGCGCCTGGCGCGCCCGGCCCGGACGCAAGGCCACTACTCCGCGGGTGGCCCGGCCTTGCCACCGACACCGCCGGCGCGGGGCAGCTCGCACGCGAGCTCCAGCCGGAGCAACTGTTGAGACAGGCGAGCCCCTGTCCCTGAGCCTCCCAGGTGGGGTCCGTGCAGGTGGGGTCGGAGGCTCGCGCCGCACAGTCGATGCATCGGCGATGCGGCTCGATGCGGAGCCCGACTTTCTCCACGCTGGCGTCGCCGATGCATCGCCGATGCATCGCCGATGTCGCCGATGCATCGCCGATGCATTGGCGATGTATCGCCGATGTATCGGCGCGATCCTCCGACCCAATTTATTCCGACCCCACCTAGGAGCCCTTTACTGTCTGCCACGATGCCTCGCTCTCTCCCTCGCTCCTCCCCAGGCAGCATGGGCACACCGACCCAGAAGCCGGCCTGCCGGCGGGTGCCCCACGGGAGTTTCTTGTATCCTGACGGGCCCGCAGGGCTTTCTGGGGCACCTGATGGAGCTCAGAGTCGACGAAGGATGTCCTTCCAGATCCTAGATTTTCGATGGCTATACCATTTGGTCGATTGTGCCCACTGTACTCTTCTGGGCTATTCTGGCCGACAGTGCCTACTCACTGGCCAGTCTGTGGGCCACAATTCGGGCATCAGGCGGCTGTTCAGGATGATCCCTGGGCTCCCCAGAAGGCTCTCGGCGAGGCGCAGCTGCAGGAACGCATTTTGGGGGCCGAGGAAACCCTTCAGGAGTGTACGCACCCGTCCTCCACCTCCCCTGTTGCTCACTAACTTCGTGTTTTTAGTCCATATGTTTTTCCATCGGCTCGCTTGTGGATTACGGTACTGCAAACTGTCGTGGCAATTAGGACGCCGCGCGCCATCCCGAACTGTGACTACCGAGATGTGTTCTCGCGGCAAAGCATTGTCTCTCTGGCGGTGGGCTCTTCTTACCCATTGATCGTTTGATGTCGCGGGTTTGCGCTCGAAGGCACGGCCAGTCCTTCTGGTCTCTGGCTCTCCACATCTCAGCTCGAGCCGGCGAGGCAGATGTTACGTTTAGCAGCCAGGCGCTACAGATCGAATGCACCAGAAGAGCGATGACTAGGAAATTCTTGACGCTTCACGTATCCCCACCAGCAGCAGCCGTATACCTGGATGCAGGTTCCGTTGCCCCCTGGCGGGGAGGGATCCGCGAGAGCTCAAGGTACTCTTGCATCCCGGTGCCCCAGCCCTCCTCACGGCTCCGGCTGTCCGTTTGGGGTTCCCTCGCACCCTTGCAGCCTTGCGTCCGTGGGCGATCAAGGCACCCTTGCCTCCCCGTGCCCGAGTGCTGCATAGGGCAGGCCCGTGCTTGGAGACGGCTCCCGCCTGCTCCCTGACTGCCAGCTTGAGCTCGGATCACAGCAGCGCCCGACGGCTGCGCAGCCGTCCCTCCCTCCCGACAGGAGCAGGCACGGGTAGGGTCCAGCGCTGGTCCCAGGTTGTCACGCCGCTGGCGCCTGGCGGGAACCAGTCTGACCCTGGCGGCAGGGCGGCCGCGTGGCAGGAGAAGGACAGATCCTCGGCGTTGCAGTCGTGCTCTCTGGCGAGGGCGAGGCGTGACAGCCTTCGGGAGGCGTCACCCTCTCGCTGCAGCAGCTGCGGCCCCCCTGGATGTTATCATCACTGGGCAGCCGTTAGCTGCACCCCTGGTAACCTCGGCACGCTTGCAGGTACAGCGATGCCAGTAATGCAGGCAGGCCGCCGACACCGGGGCCAGCAGGTCGACTGTAGGCAGCGCTTCCCTGGGGAAAGCTCTGCCCACACCTCGCCCTTGCTGAGTGGGCGCTCAAAGACATTTGATTCGCACTCTGGGCAGCCGTTAGCTGCATCCCTGGATTATGGGCGGGCTCCCACCCTCTCCCTGTACTAAACTTTTACCGAACCCTGAGCAGCCGTTAGCTGCATCCCTGGATTTAGGGCCCAGGCTTCGGCCCTTCCCCCGTCCCGTTCCCGTCGCCAGGTGCCCCCGGTGGGCCCCTCCGCGTGGTTGGCTGGTGATGTCTGTCCCCACCGCCCCCCCCCACGGAGGTCCCACTCGGGCTGGGCGGCCTGTCGGGACTTCGTGTCCCCGCATCACAACGGGGGTGATCGTCCCCTGACGCGGCTGCCCCTCTGGTGCCTTCCTCAGCCACGCTGGCGATGTTCATCCCCGCCAGTCTGGCTACTGCCCCACTCAGTGCGGCGCCTCACCACGCTATGACAGGCGTGTGACATGGGCCAGGCTCACAGGGCTCTCCACAGGGCCGGCCCTTGTCCGTGCTCGGGAGGGTGGGCCCCGAGAGTCTCGCGGTCGCCTCGGAGTGGTTCAGCCTTCCGTCTCACGCAGAGCTCCATCCTGGCCCCGTCCCAGCCGTTCAGGCAGGTCTACGCCGTCATCTCGGTTCTTGCTCAGCTCACCTGGCTGGTATACGCCGTTGGCACGGTCTTGGCCCGTGGCGCCTCGCTGGCGACGCGACCATCATTTACCTCGCCTTCGCGACCACCAGGCGTGAGAGGGGTGTGGGCAGCAGCTCACCTACGTTCTCGCCTTCACCGAGTGGTCCACGCCGCAGGGCGTACACCGAATTCCCTGGCATTTTGCTCTGGGCTGCACGATGCTCGAGCTTCCCTGGGTGCTGTCAGCCAGTCAGCCCTCACCTTGCTGCCCCTGCGGCCGCCTTGTGAGCTGGCCCGGCCGGCCTGTTCTGCGCCCTGCAGCTAAACAGGTATGTTTCCGTGCCCGGGACAGCTTCTGTCTCCGTCTGCGCTCTTCGCTTGCGGACGCGACCGCAAAAAAACAGTATCCCCACCAGCTGCCCGTTGGCCCGGACACCCTGCTCGCCGCCTGCGATTTCGCTCGCGGCCGCGACCAAAAAAGTACCCCCCCCCAGCCCATCCAGGGATGATCCCGACCGCTCCAATTGTTTCGATGCGTGGGCCCCGGAGCTTCGGACCACCCTGATGGTCCGCTACCGAAAATTTCCGGTAGCGCTCCGCAGAAATCGGTCGCTACCGAAATACAGAAATATAGCGCCCAATACCGGTATCAGACCGTTCTGAAACCCGCTATTTCAACGCCCTCAAACGAAGATCCGGTCGCTACCGAAATCCGAGGTGCGTCGAAATCGCTACCGAAGGTTTCCGGTGCCAGACCATCTGGGCCCAGACCTCGTCCTCCTCCTCCTCCTCCTCCTCCTCCTCCTCCTCCTCCTCCTCCTCCTCCTCCTCCTCCTCCTCCTCCTCCCGAGTCGCTGTTTGGCGCTTCCCGAGGCCCGGCGAGGGCCCCCGGAGGCCAAACGCTGCCAGAGTCCCGCCGCCCCAGTTTTGGTTGGAGCGTCGGGCCTCTGGGCCCCCACGCGCCCCTTCCGGGCACTTCTCGGGAGGAGAAAAAAAAACACACACAATCACAACTCATCGACGATATCCGCAGAAAATGTAGGAAGATAGGCGAAGTGGGGGGGAAGACGAACACCCAGAAAAGATGGGAAAATATGGGGAATCCTTTTATTTGTGTGCATGTATTTGTGTGTCCCAGGGCCCTTTTCAACTTCGTGGGCCACGGAAACGGCAGGGCCGTTTTTTCACCGTTTCCGAAAAAGCGTCCCTGGAAAATGGAAACGGCGACCGGAAACGGCAACAAACACGGCTCCAGGATTGGAGCCGGAGCGGGCACCCGTAACAGAACGGCGGCACAGAACAGGTATTAAAAAAATGGCGTCGGAGCCAGCAACAAAACGGCGAAAATGGAACCGGTAAAAAAATGGCCCTGTCGTTTCCAGGGCCCGCTGAGTCCAGGCACGATGTCCGGCGCAGCTGCCCTGGACGGGGGCGCGTGGCATCCCCTGGAGATATCGGAGGGCCGGAGGGGCCGGTGGCCCCTTCGACGCTCCCCCGGCTCTCGTGGGCTACCTCTTGGGGGCCTCTCCTTGGAGGCATCTCGGGGCGCCGCGGGGGCTTCTTGCTGGCTCTCTTTGGGGGGGGGGGCTCGCTGAGCATCTTGGGCGCTTCTCGGGGTCTGCTCGGGGCCTGTTGGGGGCCTCTTGGGTTGGCAGGATTCTCCCTCAGGCCACGCCTCGCGCTGCATCTGGTCGAGGATGCGGCGGCATACTTCAGAGTTTACGAAGTAGGAGGGTGACGCTGGCGAATTCGACTGCTGCTCCCAGCTCTTGCTCCTATTCCTGGTCGTGCTCCTTCTGCTGTTCATCCCCATCCTCATCATCGTGAGCTTCCTACTCTTTCTTCCGCCCTGCTCTCATCATGCTCCTCACTAGTTTCTCCTCCTATGTCAGATCACCCTGTTGCAATGTCGAGCTCGTGGAGGGGGAGCAGGAAGAGGACGAGGAAGATGGCGGGGAGGCAAAGAGGGGAGAAGGGTTGGAGGGAGGTCAGCAGGAGAAGCAGGAAGGACACTAGGGCAATTCGGATGCGGGGAATAGCGTTTGTTTTGTCTTAGCCATCCGCCACTTCATTCTCCGCGTTGGTTCCCCCGCTTTTCGTGGTCTGACCCATGTTCCTTCACCCTGATCCTGTTGCCCTTCACTCTCCCTATACCATCCACCTCCTCATCTGGATCTGCCTCATCATCTTTCTGTTCCCCACCCTTTTCTCCTTCTCGAACTCCTTGCGTTCTCGCCCTCCTCCTCATCATCATCCCCCTATGCTTCCACTTTCCGTTCTGCATCCCCCCCTCCTCCTCCTCCTTCTCCTCCTCCTCATCATCATCATCACCACCATCATCATCACGATACTTATCCCTCTCTCTCTTTCTCTCTCTCTGTCTCTATCTTTCTCTCACACCGGCCTCTGTCTCATCCTCCTCTTTTCCCCCCGCTCCTCCCTGCTCCCTCTGCCCTCACTGCTCCCCGCTCCTTCTTCCCTTGTATCCCCGCCCTTCCTCATCCGTTCTCCCTCGCCCTCGCCCCTTCCCTCCTCCCCGCCCCACCGCTCCCATTCCTCTCCCCCTCCCTAGGCCTCCCAGATGGGATCCGAGTAGATGGGGTCGGAGGATCGCTCCGCATCGCCGATTAGTTGACGATGCGGCTCGGTGCGGAGCCCGATTGTCCCCACGCCGACGTCGCCGATGTGCCGCCGACGTCACAGATGTATCGCCGATGCATCGCCGATGCATTGGCGATGCGGCGCGATCCTCCGACCCCATCTGCCAGGACCCCATCTACGGTAGGTTTGCGACGTGTCGACCGGCGGCGACCCCGCCAGCGGCGTTCAAGGTTGAACGCCGCCGGCGGCCCAGAATCGGTCGATGTTGAACGATCGGACGTTGCGGCAGCGGCCGATCGTTCAAGGTTGAACGATCCAGCGCGGTGTCAGGAGCCAACGCCAGGGTCGACATGGCACGGACCTGCAGTAGGCCTCTACCCCCGTCCCCCAGATGTCGCACCCCTCCTCCCATAGAACCCCCCCTGATGCCCGTACTGCTGCTGGCGTAGGAAGCGCCCATCCAAAGACGCTGCGTCGACAGTGACGCCCCCAGACCCCCCATTCCAATGTTGCGTTCGCGGCCGCTGTCGGGGCGCACGCATCGGCATAAAAAAAACGCCCAGAACTCCACCGCCAAGGCAACTCCGTTTTCAAGGTTGAAATTTGGGAGCAAGGGGGTTCTGAACACTGCAGCGTTGTCCATTATGCTTGGTGGGCGTTTTTCACGCCAACGGCGGTAGGTATACCACCTCTTGTACGAGGATCTGGCCACGCAGGCGAACACCATCACCATGGGCATGTACGAGTTCCTCGGCTTGCCTTTCGGCGAGGACTTTCCCCGACCGAATGTCTGGGGGGGGTCTGTCGACCCCTTCGTTCATTTTTTTGTCGTCCATCCCCTATCCTTCCTTGCTTTTAGGATCCCCACCCCCCTCCGTCCGTCCTTGCCCCCCCCTTCCCCTTTCTTCCCCCTTCCTTCCCTCTTCCTTCCCACTTCCTTCCCCTTCCTTCCCCTCCCCTTCCCCTTCCTTCCTCCCTCCTTTGCTTCGTCCATTTCTTTTCTTCCCCCCCTCCTCGCACCAACAGGCGTGTCCGTCAAGCGGTCTGGGCGCATCGATGGGGACACCTCGCAAAGTCCGGAATGGAAGTTTGAAGTTCCCCACAGTTTTGGATGTGTGACGGTGGTTTTGAGGAGCGTGTCCCTCGTGGCTACGCCGCGCACAGTCGTCTTAAACGTGCTCAGCAGCTACACGGGTTGGAAAGGGGCGGAACACTCTCACATGCCGTGACACAGCACCAAGACGACGTGCATACAAAACACGGATGGATGGCGGAACTGTTTCTCAGTATGGGTTTCCCTCGCAAGCGCTTTCATATTCCTTGCTACGAAATGTTGAGATCGCGTCTCCCAGATTCCAGACCACGACTGGGATTCAGCTTGGAGGATGGAGGGTGGCTCATGTTTCAAAACGGGGCTATGGCGCAACATCTATTTGAACGTTATGCTCCTGCACTGTGATTTTCTCGCAGCCGCAAGGATGAAGGATTACTCGTTCGCACCCGCAGGGCTCTCACACAATCGGCAGGCCCACTTGGGGGGAGTCATCCCGCAGTGACAAGGGATTGCAGAGACTTCAGACGGATCGGGCAGACGACAATTGGGAGGCGATATGCGTGGGGGAGTCAAAGATTTCAGGAAAGATGCCGTCATGGGGCCGTAGATGGCCCCAAAACTGTATCGCGGGCCCATAAAGTGCACGACATGTGCACGTCTCGTCTTATTCCCCATGTCCCAAGTTTGGGTTTATTGTTCTTAGTGTGAGGTCTCCGGCTCCTCACCTCACTTCCGCCTCCTCAGTTTCTCTTCTCACATTCAGACTGACTAACATTGAGACCCACTCACTCTCAGACTCATCCAAACTCAATCACGCATGTCCGTACTCAGTCATACCTAGACTCACACACATCGACTCGCTATCACTCAGACTCGCTCACACTCAGACCCACTCAAACTCGGACTCACCACACTCAGACTCACTCACACTCAGGCTCGCTCACACTCAGACCCATTCGCAATCATATCCATTCACACTCAGACTTACACACTCAGGCGCACTTATACTCAGACGCACTCACACTCAGACTCGCTCGCGCTCAGACTCGCTCACACTCAGACCCTCTCGCACCCATACCCATTCACGCCGCTCAGACTCACGAACACTCAGACTCGTTCACAGTCAGACTCACTCACACTTGACCCAATAGCACTCCGTCAACACTCGGACTCACCAACTCCGATTCATGAACACTCAGACTCACGCACACTCGGACCATCTGGCCATCTCGATACAGCAGGCATGGCGCTTGGGCAACCTAAGGGGGGGGAGCCGCCAGGGGGAGCATCGGAAGGCCCGTCGGCCTCCAAGTTGGTGGGATGTCTCGAACACTTCGCCTGCTTGGGCGCCGTGACCTCCTGTTTCTGGAGACCCCCATGAGAGGCCTATGATCACCACGGCATTATTAGTCAGCATAACACTTGGGGGCTCCAAGGGGGGCACGTCATCGGGTGCATCACAGGCCCCCTTCGCGTCCATACGGTGTGGACGTATCGAGCGGTTCGTCTGTGGGCGTTTCGGGCTCCTCGTCTCTTGAGGACCCCCTGGTGACCGCGACCTAGCACGCATCACATTTGATCATCCCAGAGGAGGGGTCAACAGGGGGTGTATCACGGGCCCGCTCGCGACCAGATTTTGAATCTGTCGCAAGTGTTTCGCTTGCTTGGGCGCCTCGGAGTCTTGTTTTTATTGATCGCCCTGCGATACAGCAGGCATGGCACTTGGGCAACTCAAGGGTGGGGAGCCGCCATGGGGGTGCATCAGAAGGCCCGGCCGCTTCCAAGTTGGGTGGTTGTCTCGAGCGCTTCGCGTGTTTGGGCGCCTCGGGCTCCTGTCTTTGGAGGTCCCCATGATCAGAGACCAGCAGAGACAAGGGGGCTCTCTGAGCCTCCCAGCCACCAAGGGACGGCGCTGGCGCCAAGGAATGTCCACGGCTTCTGCTGGCCCTGCCACATATCCAGCGGACATCGTCAGAAAGCAGCGCAGAGGCACAGCGCAGTAGCGAGCGGAACATATCAGCAGGCGGCGGCGGCGGAGAGCAGGAGAAAGCACCGTTCACACTTGAACTCGCTCTCACTCAATCGCCGCAGGCTAAGACTTTTTTCAATTTTCCTTCAGCTCCACTTGGGGGTGGCGTCAACGGGGGGGGCGAAAGCTGAGCGCGTTTGCTGGTGCGAGATTGCCTTTTTGTTTCTCGGAAGGCGGCCTGCGCATGTGAATTTGTCCCAATAAGTTTCGCCCATGCGGCAGTTTGAAAACGCCTCGATGTCGCTCTGGGTTGGCTTTGCGTGTGGCTGAAGCGGTTGGGGCCTGGGCGCATGTTTATCGGCGTTTCCTTTTCTACGTGTGGACGCGCCATTGCGATTGTGCGCTTTGGAACGAGACCAGCGGGATCAATATCTTCTTTGCTCAGGGTCAAGGGGCAGATGTTTTCGGAATGCCCGAGTTTGGAAGCGGTTCTGGGGGCGATCCCCCAATTTGTTTTTTGCCAGCGTCGCCTCTCTCAACCATCTTGTGGTGTTAGGTCCTCGTTTCGAAGAGAGTGCCCCGCGTTCCTTCCTTCTCACCTCCTCGCCCCCTTCTCCCTCCTCTCTTTTCCACCGTGCGTCTCCCGCACACAGGACAACGTTTCGGGGCTCTGTAGGCTTCCCCGCCGAAGGCCCCAGGGGCTGCACTCGTATGCGGCTCCCCCACCCAGGACTGCGTTTCGTGGCGCCATAGGGGTTGCTACCGAGAACCCCGACGGCTGCAGTAGCATGGGGTTCCCCTACTCAGGCCCGCGTTTCGTAGCCCGGAAAGGAGCTCCACATAGAGCCCGAGCGGCTGCACTCGCATGCGATCCCTTCCGCCCAGGATCGCATTTCGTGGCCCCGCCGGGAGCTCCACCGAAGGCCCCGGTGGCTGCATTCGCAGGCGCGCCCCCACCCACGACCGCATTTCGTGGCCCCATGGGGAGCCCCACCGAAGGCCCTGGTGGCTGCATTCGCATGCGGTTCCACCACCCAGGACAGCGCTACGTGGCCCCATATATGGGCTGCACCGAAGGCTCCGGTGGCTGCACAAGCATGCGGACCTCAGACCAAGGACAGCGCTTCGTGGCCCCATGGGGAGCGCGCAGAAGGCCCCTATGGCTGCACTCGCATGCGGTTCCAGCACTCACGCCAGCGTCTCGTGGCCTCATCGGGAATTCCGTCGAGGGCCCATGTGGCCGGACATGCATGCGGCTCCCTCCGCCCAGGACAGCGCTTCGTGGCCCCGTCGGGAGCTCCGACGAGGCCCCAGTGGCTCACTCGCATGCGGTTCCCTCCGCCCAGGATCGCGTTTCTCGGCTCAATCGGAAACTCCATCGATGGCCAAGTGGCTGCACTCGCGTGCGGTCCCCCAACCAAGGACCAAGTTTTTCGGCTCAAGCGGGAATTCCACCGAAGGCCGTGGTGGCTGTACTCGGATGCGGCCCCCCCCACCCAGGACAGCGTTTCGTCGCCCCGTACGAGCTCCACCCAAGGCCACAGTGGCTGCACTCGCATGCGGTTCCCCTGCCCAGGGCCGCGTTTCTCGGCTCGATCGGGAGCTCCACCGAAGGCCCCGGTGGATGCACTCGCATGCCGTTCCCCCGCCCAGGACAGCGCTTCGTGGACCCGTGTGGAGCTCCATCGAAGATGAAATATTCACAATTGCGGAACCCACAACTGCATATGGTGAGAGCCATCTCCAGACAAAGTTGCGAGGAATCGATGCCGCGAGAGCGTGGACCTGATGTACTTCCACGGAGGATACTTGTTGCGGGAGTGAACATTTGTTGTTCTTCACTGGGGAAGCGGGGCCCGATGCATGCGGCGCTCTGCGGCGAGAGGGGCGGTGGCAGCCCCTGAGAAGACTTGCAGAAACCCTGCCAGACAGCCCTTGGCATTCTAGCGTGCCCCTAACGAGCACAAGGTCCTGTGGCATGTGCATCCTCCACCGCTTGCCCTCGTTTGGGAAATATGTCTTGGCTCCAGTTGCCATGGTCCATGCCATCGGGTCCTCGCCGTCTGCTTCTCCTGCCGCCCATCCTTCTGCTGCTTTCCTCATGCTCCCAACTCGCATTGCCATCAGACCCTTTCGAAAACTTCTATTAGACACCGCAAACAGTCTCAATTATCCTCAACTGGACCGCCTTTCTCGTCTCAATTTCTCTTAATCCACGGTTTGAACGAAGAATTATAGCTCAATTTATTTCAAAAGATCTCACTTTCTCTCAATTCGTCTCAATGTTTCTCAATTCGCCTCAAAACGAGAGTTCCATAGTATACGCTGGCGTGTTGGGGCCCCGCTCCCCTCTCAACATATCTTTTTGGGAATGCCGCGCAGTCCCAAGCCAGTTTAGATTATCCTGCCTGCTATTCCAATTCATCGGGAATACGGTTCCCATGGATCTCATCGTGCTCCTCATGCTCCTCCTCGCTCGTCATTTTCTTCCCCAGCTAGCTTCTCCTCATCCTGATCCTCCTCCTCCTCCTGCTTCCCCCTGCTGACCGCTCGCGTTACTCCGCCGAAGGCCCCAGTGGCTGCACGCGCATGCAGTTCCCTCACCCATGACAGCGCTTTGTGTCCCTATCGGATGCCCCACCGAAGGCCCCAGTGGCTGCACTCGCATGCGGTCCCCCCACCCCGGACAGCGTTGCGTGGCCCCGTAGGGAGCTCCACCGGAGGCTCCAGTGGCTGCACTCGCATGCGGTTCCTCCGTCCAGGACAGCGGTTCGTGGCCGGGAGCTCCACCGAACACCTTGGTGGCTGCGTTCGCAGGCGGTTCCCCTGCCCAGGACCGCGTTTCTCAGCTCAATCGGGAGGTCCACCGAAGGCCCCAATGGCTGCACTCGCGTACGGTTTCCCCACCCAGGACAGCGTTTCGTGGACCCATCAGGAGCGCCATCGAAGACGAGATTCAACATTGCGGAACCCACACCTGCACATGGTTGGGTCCATTGCCAGGCTAATTTTCCAGGTTTCCGTTTCGAAAAAGCATGATGCGCGCCGCCTGCAATCCCGTCATGGCTATTGGGAGGAGAGGGCGCGAGAGGGAGGGTGGCACAAACGAGGATCGAGGAGGAGCAGGGGGGGAGGAGGAGCAGGAGGAGGAGGGGCAGTAGGATGAGGAAGAAACCCCGTATGGGGCCACGAAGCGCTGTCCCCGATGGGGGACCCGCATGCGAGTGCAGCCATTGGGGCCTTCGGTGGAGCTCCCGATGAGGCCACGAAACGCTGTCCTGAGAAGGGGAGCCGCATGCGAGTGCAGCCATTGGGGCCGTCGGTGGAGCTCCCTATGGGGCCGCGTAGCGCTGCCCTGGGCGGGGGGACCGCATGCGAGTGCAGCCACTGGGGCCTTCGGTGGAGACCCCTACAGAGAGAGCCACGGAACGCTTGTCTGAGTGGGGGAACAGCATGCGAGTGCAGTCACTGCGGCTTTCGGCGGAGCTCCCGGCGGGGCCACGAAACGCGTGGGGGAACCGCGCGCGAGTGCAGCCACCAGGGTCTTCGGTGGAGCTCCCCACGGGGCCACGTAGCGCTGTCCTGGGTGGAGGAGCCGCATGCGAGTGCAGCCACTGGAGCCTTCGGTGGGGCTCCCTACGGGGCCACGTGGCGCTGTCCTGAGTGGGGAAACCCATGCGAGTGCAGCCATTGGAGCTTTCGATGGGAACCTCATTGGAGACGCGAAACGCAGTCGTGGACAGGATCCGCATGCGAGTGCAGCCGATTGGGCTTTCGTTGAGCCCCCTATGGGGCCCCGAAAAGTTCTCCTGGGCGCGGGAGGCGCATGGTGGAAAAGGGGGGAAGGAGGAGGGGGACAAGGAGGAAAGGAAGAAGGAACGCCTGGCACTGTCTCCTCAAAACGAGGGCCTAACACCACAGAATGGTTGGGAGAAACGAACGCGCACATTCGCATAGCGAGACCCTATACCCACTGCGGCCGCGAGCGTTCTTCTTGGCGTGATGCACCCAAAGCAACCACTCCGCTCTCGCACGCGCGCAGTAAGACACCACTGCAGCACTCTTCTTGAGCGCTCGCTCTGGCAGAGAGTTCACCAGGGCACCGCCCAAGTGGCCCATGGCATCTAAAATGCTGCGCCCGCCTTCGCTTCACTAGCGTCAGCAGCGCGGTTCCACTTGCTTGCAGACCCGCAGCGTTTTGGTCTTGCAGGCGAGTCGGTCTTTGGGCTAATTCCCCAGAAGGTTCCGATTTGGCCGCTGGCAGCGTTTCAATGGTTTGATGTCACAAAGCGTCTGTGCCGCAAGGTGTTACAATGGTGCGCGGTTGCGCCAGGATGTTGTTCCGAACTGCCCACTCTACGGCTCCGCTGTGCCAACTTGGTTTTGCGTGGCGCCCTTCCCTATGGGAGATTCCACTGCTGAGACGCATCGTTGCGCAATTAAGTGAATTTGGTTGTGGTTTGAGCTGCCTTTTGCTGTCTCAGTAGTGGTTTGGTTGCCCCCCCCGCTTCCGCCACCCCCAAGTGGAGCTGCATGAAATTTCAGGCGTTCACACCGGGAAGTGCCAGCGAATGAGATGCACGGATGATGAACTCCAAGTCAAAGATTCTCGTAATCAATCCTCCCTTTCTCCCCCCCTACCCCCCCTCCTCCCCCGTCGTCATCCTCTTCCTTCCCCCCCCCCTTTCCTGGGCACTGCAAGCTTCCCTCCACCGCTCCCCCAGAGGACGCCCGCAGCTTCGTCCAGCAGAAGTTCAACGGGGACTGCGCGGACTCGGCCACCGACCCTTTCGGGGACTGCCGTGGCAACTCCTCCGAGGAGGGAGTGGGCTGGGGACGCCTGGCCCCACGGCGCTGGCGCTGCGACGCACCGATGCCCGACGCACCGACCGCGACAGGGGCGGCGCGCGAAGGAAGTCCGCCGCCGCGGCGCCCGACGCCCCGAGCGCGAGAGGGTGGCCCCGCCGCGCGGCGGGCCGCGGGACGTTCTCGGCCCGGGGCGCCAGCGCGGCCAGCGAGAGCGGGCGTGCCGGCTGGCACGTGGCCGACCGGCAGCGGCCGATGCGCAGAGCGTTTCGCTGGAAGTGCGGGCGAGGAGGCCTGCGGAGCGATCCGCGGCCTCGCCAGCCCTGCGCCGCGGGCGAGAGCGGGCCGCGTGCGGGGCGCGAGGCGGGTCGCGGGACGGGTCGCGGTGTGTGTGTGTGTGTGTGTGCGCATGTGCGTGTGCGTGTGCGTGTGCGTGTGCGTGTGCGTGTGCGTGTGCGTGTGCGTGTGCGTGTGCGTGTGCGTGTGCGTGTGCGTGTGCGTGTGCGTGTGCGTGTGCGTGTGCGTGTGCGTGTGCGTGTGCGTGTGCGTGTGCGTGTGCGTGTGCGTGTGCGTGTGCGTGTGTGCGTGTGCGTGTGCGTGTGCGTGTGCGTGTGCGTGTGCGTGTGCGTGTGCGTGTGCGTGTGCGTGTGCGTGTGCGTGTGCGTGTGCGTGTGCGTGTGCGTGTGCGTGTGCGTGTGCGTGTGCGTGTGCGTGTGCGTGTGCGTGTGCGTGTGCGTGTGCGTGTGCGTGCGCGTGCGCGTGCGCGTGCGCGTGCGCGTGTGCGCGTGTGCGTGTGCGTGTGCGTGTGCGTGTGCGTGTGCGTGTGCGTGTGCGTGTGCGTGTGCGTGTGCGTGTGCGTGCGCGTGCGCGTGCGCGTGCGCGTGCGCGTGCGCGTGCGCGTGCGCGTGCGCGTGCGGGTGCGCGTGCGTGTGCGTGTGCGTGTGCGCGTGCGCGTGCGTGTGCGCGTGCGCGTCGCGTGCGCGTGCGCGTGCGCGT